ATAATCCAATGTTCCTGCCAAATAACGCAAGATGCGTTTGACTGCTACCAAATGCACTTCTCGTGGGGACTGCATGTACTGAGTAACTTTATTGACATCAAACGCTATATCCGGTCGAGTATGGCAAACATACAAGAGAGCCCCGACAATGCTGCGATATTCACGAGCATTAGGCATCAACTCACTACTATGATCAGTAGACTTCGCAGCAACAACCATTGGAGTGCAAACAGGCGTTGCTTGACTCATATTGGCTTTCTTCAATAGCTCACAAATGTAAGCTCGCTGACTTAGCACCAAACCAGTGTCAATTCTCTTAACTTCTATTCCTAGAAAGTAAGACAACTCACCTAAATCTTTGAGAGAAAATCGAACGCTGAGCATACGAACGACTTGATCAACAACTTCAGCAGATGTCCCTGTAATTATAATATCATCGACATATACTAACGCATACGTACTGCAATCATCTTGAAGCTTAATAAAAAGTGACATGTCTGCCTTTGACTCAACAAACCCAAGCTCCAACATACCAGCTTTCAGTTTGTCATTCCAATTACGCGGTGCTTGGCGAAGACCGTAGAGTGCCTTTTTCAACTTGCACACTAACGAGGTACCATCAGAAGCATATTGTTCAAATCCGGGTGGCTGCTGCATATATACGTCTTCATGCAAATCCCCATTTAAAAAAGCATTGTTGATATCAACCTGTCGTAAAACCCAGCCTTTAGCAACAGCCATGGTTAAAAGCACATATATTGTCGAGAACTTTACAACCGGGCTATACGTATTTTGAAAGTCAAGACCAGGAACCTGCGTGAACCCTTTTGCGACTAGGCGAGCTTTGTACCGAAGCACAGATCCATCAGGATTTCGTTTGAGTTTAAAGAGCCACTTGCACCCCACCACATTTCTGTCAACAGGTAAGGGAACAAGTTCCCGCATGCCATTCTCAAGTAAAGCTGAATATTTAGCATGTACTGCTTCAGACCACGCAGTAGATTGAAGGGCTTCTTTAACCGTGGTTGGTACAATATCATCAAAGAACGTAGTAAACACTTTTGGCTTAAATACGCCACACTTGCTGCGAGTTAGCATAGGATGTCCATTACGAGCTGCAGGTTCTGTTCTGTCACCAGGCAGCGACTGAACATCCTCAGCAACCTCTGGATCTCCTTGACCAAGATCTGGGACTTCAGACATAGCTGCTGACTCAGAATCTGATGCGGAGTGTGTAGTGCAGTGGTCAGAATTATCTATAGGTAACTGAACAACACCTGAGACTTGAGCACGACCAGGGGTCATCTTATTAGCATCCATTACTATTTCAAGAGGTTGACTCAAGGGCAACACAACTGATAATTGCTTGTCCGTGGTACTATTGGCAAATGGAAAATTCCACTCATCGAACTTCACATGACGAGAGACAATGACACACTTATCATGCGTTAAACAAAGGAAGCCCTTGTGTTGAGGGCTAATACCCAAGAACATACACGGTTGAGATCTAAAGTCAAGCTTATGAGCATTGAACGATCTTAGATGAGGAAAGCATCAACAATCAAAGACCCTGAACGATTCATAATCCAGCTTCTTTTTAAATAAACACTCAAAAGGAGAACACCCAGCAAGTACCTGGGAGGGGAGTCTGTTGATCAAATGGACAGCCATGACCACTACATATGACCAAAAATTAGTTGGCATGGAAGCTTATGCGAGTAAAACCAACGCCAACTCAACCACATATCTATGTTTACGTTCCACTACACCGTTTTGTTCTGACGTGTGTGGACACATAACACGATGAGAAATGCCTGCTTCAGCAAGCATTCGAGACAGCCTGCGATACTCTCCACCCCAGGCACTCTGAACGGCTAAAATCGACAGTCCAAACTGTGTTTTGACAAGCTGTTGGAATAATTGGAACGCATAAGTAGCTTGGGATTTGTCCTCAAGGAGATATAACCAGGTGTGTCTCGTGCAGCCATCCACAAAACTCACATAATATCTATAACCATTAGAAGCAACAGGTGATGGTCCCCATAAATCCGTAAATACAAGTTGAAAGGGCAGATCATACACAGTGGAAGAATCAGAAAATGGAAGCTTATGGCTCTTTCCTATATGACAAGCAATGCAAGTTTCATTAACATTTTGCTCAATAGTTACATCAAGTAGTTTGCATATTTGCCCAAGAGTTCCATGTGCTGGATGCCCAAGGCGCCTATGCCACAACTCATACAAACTATGTGAAACAGTAATATATTAGCTTCAACGGAAGCATTTGTATTATTCATGGAATCGACTTGAAACAAATATAAACCATCATTCTCCTGTCCTTGTAGCAGTACTTCACCAGTGCTTTCATCACGAACACAGCAATGGAAAGCATGAAACTCAAAGTATACCACATTGTCCCTAGCAAGCTTCGAGACCGAGAGAAGATTTTTAGTTATCTTGGGAACATGAAGCAAATCATTCAACATTAAAGCTCGAGAAGAAGAACGTAAGATAGTTTTACCAACAGCTCTAATAGGGAGTAAATCTCCACTGCCAACAACAATTTTACCTGGTCCAGAAAGATCCTTTGGATTAAGCACCTTGGCTGACTCAGAGGTCACATGGTGTGTAGCCCCGAAATCCACCACCCAATGATCTCTCGTAGTAGCAACACGACTCTGAGGCTGCGAGGAATGGCATACTTGTGCCTCAGCACGAGCTTTGGAGCAGCACATCCAATCATTCTCACCAACAAAGACTGTTTCAAAATCGAAGTAGTTAGCAGATCCGGACTCACTTCGAGCCACAGTTCGGCCGGCCGACCGACCAGTGAAGGTTTGATCGAACATATACCAGCAATCAACAACCAGATGGCCATTTTTGCCATACAACTGGCACTGCACTCGTGGTCTGCCACGTCCACGTCCTCCACCTCGACCTGCATGACTAGATCCTGCTCGCCCAAAACCACGATCATTAAAAGCTTGACCAGCAGTTTTCAATCCAGAAGCAGATTGAACTATATGAGCTCTCATCGGGAGTGAATCCTCTTGAGAGTCAAAACCAGCAAGTTGCGTCTCGCCATCGATCAACATCGAACAAATTTTGTCAAGGGACAACGCATCCTTCATAGTGGTAATGAAAGCAATATACGGTTGATATTCTCGGGGAAGACCCTTCAGTATGCTGGCAACATGCTCAGCCTGAGGAATAACACTATCGCACAAGTCTAACACGTCACAGACTTCTTTGATACGCGTAAGATATGTGCGCATGCTGCCAGTTCCTTTCCGGAGCGACTGAAGCTTGTAATGGAGACTGATAACCGCCGTGGTAGACCTGTTCGCGAAGAACTGTAAGACCGTGCTCCAGACCGCCGCCGCCGTCTCCGTTCCAACAAACTGGGACAGCAAGTGAGGGCTGATCGTGGACAACAGCCAAGAGGCTAATGCACTGTCTTGAGCAACATACTCTTCATATAGCTCATTCGGCACTAGATCTCCAGTTTCGGTCACTACCGTTGCAGAGGGAGGCAATGCAGTTCCCATCAGCAACCGTTCAAGTCGATGGCTACGAACGGTTAGCAAAACTTGTTGTTTCCAGAGAGAAAGTTTGATTCATCCAGTATGATATTAACCTTCTTATTTGTGAAGGTTTTTCCAGCCGAGAACTCCATGGATGCAAGAGCAGCGAAGCACACAGAAGCAATCTCAGGAACAACCAGCGAATGATACCATGTTAGACATTGCTGTAGGCAATGTTTGAATTCATCAAGAAGAAATATCAGAAGAATTATATTTTTCTTGATTGCTTTACACTTCATCTAAGCTTGCTTACTTATAGTATATTAATAACAACTTTAACAGCTTTGAAACCGTTCACTAACAAACTTGCCACGTATACTAACAGCATTTACTACCTAGAATCTTCCATCTGCCACTCACGCAATGCATGAACTGCATTATCATACGCACAGCATACTCAGCTTCTTCATGTATCTCAATACTCTGCAACTAAAGGAGCCTTCGATACCATCTTCAGACTTGAGAAAGTAAGTACATTTTTCATGGAGATTTTTCAAATGGGTTTCAAATATTGAAGGTTAACTGAGTATAAATTACTGATGAATATAGGGTTTGCCGAATATTATGATGAAATTCAACAGGGATGTCATCATCTGCGTTTCTTGATGTTTTAATGTGATCTGAGCCTGTAGGAAAGCTGAGCGTTCAAGGTTAAGATGAAGGTTTTGATCGGAATGCCATTGAAAAACTTTATGAAGGCAGGCTGCAGTTCGTACGCAGCACAGTGTTCTTTTTCTGTTTGTAATTACGTTACTCTTGCTTGAGAGCTTATTTACTTGTTATTTACGTTACTCTTGCTTGAGAGCTTATTAACTCTAATTTGCCACACCACTCTTTAGAACTTTTCTATTGAGGATTTTCATGCAAGACGTAAAATGTAGATATATAATTTTAATTATCAATATTTTATTTTTTAAATAAATAATAAAATTTTATATTGTAGGTAATATTTTTACTGATAATATTTATTTTGAATAATTAAGAAGAATATCATTACAAAATAATCTATAAGAGAACAAGGTCTATCATCTCTAAATAGATTTTACTAAGAAGAATATCGTTGCAAAATTTTAATCTTTTTCCACTGGTTCATCTAACCAACTATCACTTATCATTATACTCAGTGTTACATTGTCTGTTTGTTTTTCTCTTCATCTTCTCTTGATACATATGATTCACTTATATGTAACATTGTCACTACTGCTGTCCGTTCAGTTTACTTTACGTTTGTGTTAACACGTGTCTTCAATATTCAATACGGATGAGTAGATCAATGAGTTAAGCACAGATGATTATATATATATATAAAGGAAGTCGCTTTATATCTTCTGTTTACAACCATGGGCTGGGTTTGGAAAGCCCAATTACCCAAAAATTACCTAATCGGGTCAGCAACGGTGTTAAATCAAATTCATGGATTTGGTTGGTTAAGGAGCGAAGAAAGCAGGATAAAGATAATACTGAAATAGGCGACGCCTGGGCCTGCCTTCTCCCTCTTCACTCTTCACCTTATTCAGACAAAAAGATTGAATCTTTTCAAGAAAAGCTCACTCCATCAAAAAATGTCTGTCTCTTATACTCTGCAACTCCCATTCCCTTCACGAATTTTCCCTTCTCGAAGAAACAGCATCGATAGGAGACTAGTCAATCTTCAAATTCTGCACTCTTCTAATGAATCCGAGCAACATACTGAAAACGATAGGTACTTGCTCCTTCATTCAAACCCTTGTTTTTATTTTGCCTCTGCTTCCTGAATTCAACATTTTTTTAATCTCTTTCTGCAGAAATAGTAGAAGTCAAGACCAAGTGATTTTAGTAGAAAGATATGGAAGTGGTACTATTAAAAGGTTGATTTATTCCCCTTATTTAGTTGAAAGGATTTGAGTATGCCACTATTAAATAAAAGGTGGAATCTGAATGATTGCTGTGTTGATCAGATACGTGCTAGAAGATGATGATTTGCAGATTCGAGCTTTTCTTGAAAAAAATGATCCAACAAGCAAAGATTCCAAAGGCTCACATTTATCTGACCCAAAGTTATCTTGGCTACCACCCATCCTCAAAGAATTCATCTTGCCTGCAGGTTTCCCAGGTAAACTAATATTCAACATTTCCTTCAATTTGTTGTTCTTTGTTCTTTATTTGTTTACCTATAACATAATTGTTCTTTGTTTTGATCAATGCAGGATCTGTGTCGGATGATTACTTGCAGTACATGTTGTTACAGTTTCCCACAAATGTTACTGGATGGATATGTCATACTATAGTTACTTCAAGTCTTCTAAAGGCATGTGAATCTAACTCCGGCCATTATCCTTACTTGGGTATGTGATGTGGGATTTTTCACTCCCTATTTTCGGCTCTAAAGAAGACGAAGACTGTAAAAATTATTGCTTTCTATGGGAAAGGGGTGTTAGGATTACGGTTTTCCTTGGCGTGGCTAATTATAATTTCAATTCATTTAGTATCTGTTACTATGAATTTTGGATAGCCATGAGTGGTTTTTCGAGTTTCCAAATTGCAGATAGGCTCCGATATCGTTTTTAGATTAACTTTTGTCTTGATGAATCTTTTGTTCGTTGTTGCTACACTTTCATTAAGCTTATGTAGAAAATACTTATTTCACCTTTTATTATCAATATTAGTTTGATTAACCATATTTTGCTATCTTTCACCGTATTGCAGGCTGTCGGTGTTGGTTCTTTCTCAGGAACTTCAGCTGCTGCTGCTGCTGCTGCCATCAGGTAACTTTCAGCGATTTTAAGTTTAGGTTATCATTGCCTATGTGAAATCTTTACGTGCATGCGTGTAATTCGAGAATGGAAAAGAATAATGTTTTTTCCAACTCTTCTGTGCAAAGATTTGACCGTGTAGATAGTTTAGAGATAGCAAAAGGATCATGTTTTTTCTATCAACATAATCTTATATGTCATTGAGCGATTTGCGTGACTGTTTGCGCAGATGGGTGTCGAAAGATGGCATTGGGGCTGTTGGGCGCTTATTCATTGGTCTGGCAAATTTCTAAAGAGCTAAAGTTCAAAAAAGAAGTTATGTGATGAAATTTGTTAATTACTATTGCTCCTTTTCCAGGTGGCCGATTCGGGAATCTCTTTGATGATGACCCTAAACAGTGGCGCATGTACGCAGACTTCATCGGCAGTGCTGGAAGGTTTGTTTTCGCTGTAGAGTTGAATTATATTAGAGTTGTTAGAGATCACTGAATATCTTAATTTATCTTGCAGCATATTTGATCTAACAACACAAGTTTATCCTGCCTATTTCCTGCCGTTGGCATCTCTTGGCAATCTTGCTAAGGTATTGATCCGGACATACTAGTTCGGTATTCTCTATCTATAACAATTAATGCTCGATAAGAGTGTATTTGATGCAAGCTTCTACACTACTAGAGTCAGTTCCATGCTTCAGTTTTAACACGAGTGAAAAGTTTACGAATTGTTGTTTTATTGAAATCCGACCAGGCAGTAGCAAGAGGACTTAAAGATCCTTCATTCAGAGTGATCCAAAACCATTTTGCAATCTCAGGAAATCTCGGAGAGGTGGCTGCTAAGGTAGTGAAAACGTATAGACTGGTATCATGCATGCATCTCTATGGTTATCAAAAGCATTTTGCCTGTACTAGCTACACCGAACATCGATTATACAAATTAAAATTATGTTTGCAGTAAACTAATTGATCTTGATTTTTAGGAGGAGGTTTGGGAAGTAACTGCTCAGCTGCTCGGTCTTTCTCTTGGCATACTGATCCTGGTATATTGTTTAGTTTCTCGGAATACTTTCTGGGTGGAGGTCGAATTTATGAGCTACCATCAGCTTCTAGCTTCGACATGCTATAAATGCAGGATACTCCTGGCTCATATCCGGTGTTAGTATCAACATGGGCATGCATGCGACTTTTTCACCTCTGGTTACGTTATTTGTCACTTTCAGCTCTACGATTTAACATGGTACGCTCTTTTTCTTACCGGCAGTATCCGGCCAAATACCTTAATTCGATGTTTTATATCGTAGTTTTTATGTCCTCCTGGAATCAGTATGCTCAAATAAAACCTTTAGGAAAGTGGCAAGTGTTTGTGTTGGTAAGACTAATCTTCTTTTGTTTTGTGACAGATAAATCTTAAGCGAGCTCGTATTCTTGTACAGTCGCATGTTTTGCACTCTAGAGTGCCGGGTACGATTATATACCTTTCGAACCATTGCTTATATAAGGAATATATTGTTCCGACAGAAACGATCCAAATTTTTGTATTTGTCCCCCCATAGGATGCAATGACTGCAATAGGGATGAAAATATTTTATCATGGCAGCGATTCATAAAGCCTCGGATCATTTTCGGTGTGCCGGTGGAGGAAATGTTAGGTGGTGGGAGATCCGTTTCGACGGTATTGGCTGATTATTTGGTGGTCGTTTGTTATAAGTACTAGTACGATCGGTTATGTTATTACAACAAACATAATTCAAGCTGCTTTTTTCTTTTCTAGAACAGCTGAAAACCCTCCTTAGAATATATGCAAGGGAGAAATATGTTCTCATGGTGAACCAACAGCGAAAAGATTTCGAGGTTTTCGTTTCATTCAAGGTATGTGTGCTAAAACGAACTCAACACGCTATTATGAGATCAATTCTTAAGCATAATTGCGCTTAAACTTTTCTGCAGGCCGGTGCTACGAGTGTCTCCGTCTTGCGTAGTGTCTGGCAGACTTATTGGCTACACGAGAACTTGAATGTCTCAGAAGATCTCTTTGATCAGCTTGCAAAAAGTTTACCCCGGATGGATGAAAGGTTCGACGAGTTCATTAAACAACTGGATAAATCTGGATGGGACATTCATCAAATTAATTTGAGGGTCCCCAAGGAAATCTCCATTGATGAATGTCTCGTTTAATGCTCGAATTACGATGATCAAAACGCCATCTTTTCACACCCGAACCAGAGCTGCCTTGTTATGCCGGAGGGAAAAAAGGTACAATTGATCAAAACAGAAACGCTTTGCAAGTCGAGTTATCAGACGATGATGGTAGCTAAACCGGTTGCAGCTGAGAGGCAGCTGCCCTGAAGGATCATTTCAAAGCATCAAATCTGTAATGCTATATGGTCCCATCCACTATATTTTTATCCCATAGTCCTCCATACATGAATTACCATGATTCATATAGGATCCACTCATGATGTACGTAAATCGAACATAAGAACTATTCGAGTCGAGTCCATTATCCATATATGAATCATGAGTATGACCATTTACAGTAGTTCCTTATAAGTTATATTATAAGGGTAAAATTACACTTTTGATCCTCATAAAAAAATATAATTTAATTTCGACCCTTAATTCGACTTTCATTTTTTGTGTCCCGTTTTGCAAGGAAATGGTTGCTTTGCTTGTGACACTTTGAGTTTGATTTAGTGTGTTTGGTGGAGGTTGGGGTGTCCTAATCAGAACAAGTAATTATGAAAATGGCACCAAATATACTCTAGAATTATTTAGTTTGGTGAAGCGTGGCCAAATTCCCCACCATTACAGACGCTTTCTCCATTTGTTTATATGTTTATTTAGCCACGAACTGAATGATTTTTGTGCAACAATTCTACTTTCTTGACAAATTGGTCCTTGTATTTAACTTTCTTTTTCATTTTTTATTTGAACCCATTAAAATATTTTATATTATCTTCATGTCAATTTCATCACCAAATCATTTAAGAGTATGCTATATTAATATATTTTCTTTATTTATTCAATGTCATTTCTTTTCACTTTTTCGCTTAATACAGGGTTTAATAAAAAGAGTTAATTGCATATGTCCCCAAATTATGAATCTTATTTTAAATTGGTCCTTAAACTTTTAAATATTCCAATTTCATCCTCAAACTATGACCCTCATTTTAAATTGGTCCCCAAACTTTGAATCTTCTAATATCATCCCCAATCCAAATATGCAATTAGTTTCAACCATAGTTTAACCTATTTTTTTTAAAACATATAATAATATAAGTTGGCCTAATGGTTTGAGGACTAATTTAAAATGATAGTCTGTCACGATGGAAGGGGAGTTAGGGTTTGAAGGTCTTAATTTGGGGAAAAATCGAAGAAGGAAGTTGGGGAATCAACAGCAGAAAGGGGGAGAGGAGAGAAAAGAATTAGGGATCGAAGGGGATTAGGGATTGAAGTTTTATCTGAAGAGGGAAAGGCAGAAATAAGGACAGGAGATGGGTCACACGGGATTGGGTATGGGTTAATAGGGTAACTGGGCTTTATTACTTAGACCCAATTAATATAGCAGTAGGCTTATGAGTTAAAGGGTTGGGCAGGTCTGGATCTAAGTCAGAGGTGAGAGGGATGGAAGGGTGAGTCATCATTTTAGACGGTTATTTTGTTAGATTGCTGAATTGCCAGCTGGAGGTACTGTATATATATAATTGTACCCAGAATCTTTGAGGATTTATCTTATGAAATGAAAATGCACACTTCTGTAACCTATTCTCTCTATTTTCTTAAATCCCTAACAAATTCTTCTATCATTCTATCCTAAATCATAACAAATTGGTAATCAGAGCTGAGTTCTGTGATCCAAACCATTTTTCACGCTGGGAAAGACAAGAAAGATGCAAAAGACTGGAACCATTGAGGTACCAGAACAAGCAGCAGAAGTGAAGGAAGAGACCTTACCATCTTGGTGGGTAGGGCAGAAAGCAGAGCTGGAGGGAAGGATACAGACCTTGGAGGAAGGAATGACTGAGAACAGGGGATATTTGTAGAGAATCCTACAGCTGGTCAATCAAGCAGCTGAGGAAAAAGACTCACCTCAGTCAGCAAGAAGTCATCCACCAGCAGCTGAAAAGCAAAACAGAGGTGAAGGTAAACCACCATGTTTAGTTATGGTTCTTAGTGAGCATGGGAAGTATACTTTTAGACCTAATGAACCGGGGATATTAGCTGATAAACCTGCGGGGTCTACTGGTCTTCTACCTTTTAATCAGAAATTGCAAGAAGAAAATATTATGGGCAGTTCTAGTGAGGTTAAAGTAGACAGTAAAGGTTTATTTGGGAGTTCAGGGCTTATGTTACCTCGACCTAAATTAGAACTACAGATGTTTGATGGTAGTAATCCCAAAGGATGGGTGAGAAAATGCCAAAAATACTTTAATCTTTTGGGAGTCCCTGAGGAATAAAAATTGGATGTGGCTGTAATGTATTTGATGGGGAAGGCTGAGACATGGTTTGATGGCTATATTATGCAGAAGCATAGAGTGACTTGGCATGAATTTGAGGCTGATTTGTGTTATAGATTTTGTGACAAAAACTATTCAGATATCATTGAAGAATTTAATAAGTTAATGCAGAAGGGTAGTGTAGAAGAATATCAAGAAAAGTTTGAAGAGTTAAGACCCTATTTGCTACAACAGCATATGCATTTAGGGGAAGATTATTTTGTCTCCAGTTTCATTAGTGGTCTGAAGGAGGAATTGAAACATAAGGTGAAGGTGTTGGAGCCCAGAAATCTGTCTGAGGCTTACAGGCAGGCCAAACTTTATGAGTTGGCTAATGAGATGGAAGGAAAGAAGTATAAATATTCTCAAAAACTTTTTCCTTATACTTCTTCAGGTGGTCAACAGAACAGTGGGACTAAAAGTTTGCAGCCTAAGACAACTCTTCCAAATTCAAATACAAGGCAGAGTTTACTGGAATATAGAAGAGAAAATAATCTGTGTTTTAAATGTGGGGAAAAATTTGCTCCTGGACATCAGTGCAAAGTTAGACAGTTGAACAATATGGAAGAGGAAGAAGATTCTGCTGATTAGGAATTGACAGAAGGAGAAAATGGAGAAGGGAATGATGTAGCTAAAGAAGCACTGGAAATTTCTATCAATGCTATTACAGGTAATGTGGGGCACACTACCTTGAGAATTCAGGGTTTTATCATAGAAAACCCACTTAATGTGCTAATTGATAGTGGAAGCACACATAGTTTTGTGACTCCTAGGTGGGCCAAAGAAGGAGTGGAACTTGTTCAGACTCAACCATTAGTTATTACAGTAGCTAATGAGGAGAAGCTATTCAGTAATGCCAAAAGTAATCAAGTAAGTTGGAAGATGCAAGGCTATGAATTTCAGCATGATTTTAGAGTTTTGTCTTTAGGGGGCAGTGATATGGTACTGGGAGTGGACTGGATAGAAGAGTTTAGTCCTATAATGATGGATTTCAAAGCCAAGACAATTAGTTTTGAAAGGGATGGAAAGACTGTTATGATTAGAGGAACTCAGAAATTACCAACCATCAAAACCATCTCAGGTGAAAAATTACAGAAGTTAGTGGAGAAGGATACTGAAGTAAATGGAGAAATCTATTTGTTGAATGCTGAAGTGGAGGAAAGTAAAATTCCTCTACCTTTACAAGATTTATTATAAGAGTTCCAGGAAGTGTTTGAGGAACCTAAAGGGATGCCTCCTAGCAGAAGACATGATCATGCCATTGTTCTGAAACATGGGACACAGCCAATCAATTTAAGACCCTATAGATTTGCTCATCATCACAAGACTGAAGTTGAAAAACAGATTGCACAAATGTTAGCCTCATCTATCATACAAGTGAGTAAGAGTCCTTTTGCTTCTCCTTGTTTACTTATTAGAAAAAAAGGATGGAACTTGGAGGTTTTGTGTGGACTATAGGCAGCTTAACTCTTATACAGTTAAGAATAAATTTTCTATTCCTATAGTAGAAGACTTATTAGATGAATTACATGGGGCTAAATTCTTTTCAAAGATTGATTTGAGATCTGGTTATTGGCAAATTCGGATTAAAGAGGAGGATGTTCATAAAACTGCTTTTAGAACTCATCAAGGGCACTATGAATTTAAAGTTATGCCTTTTGGCCTGACTAATGCCCCATCTACTTTTCAAGATTTGATAAATGACTTGTTTGGAGCATATTTGAGGAGGTTTGTTCTTGTGTTTTTTTGATGATATTCTGATTTACAGTTCCAGTATGATAGAGCATAAAAATCATTTAAGAGTGGTGTTGGAAATTCTACTGAAGAATAGTTTGTATGCCAAAAAGAGTAAATGCTTTTTTGGCCAACAACAAGTAGAGTATTTGGGACATTTAATTTCAGCTAAGGGAGTAGCAACTGACCCTGAAAAAATAAAGGCTATGCAACAGTGGCCTTTACCTAAAAATCTAAAAGCTTTGAGAGGATTTTTGGGTTTGACAGGGTATTATAGAAAATTTATCAAAGGGTATGGAGAATTGAGTAAACCCTTGACTAATATGTTGAAGAAGGAAGGATTTCATTGGTCTCCAGAGGCTAAATTATCTTTTGAGAATTTAAAAAGGGTTATGTGTGAAGCTCCAGTTTTGGCTTTACCAAATTTTGAGCAAAAATTTTTTTTGGAAACTGATGCTAGTTCCAGGGGTATTGGGGCTGTTTTATCTCAAGCAGGAAGGCCTATAGCTTATTTAAGTAAGGCTTTGGGGCCAAAGCATGCAGACCTTTCTATCTATGAAAAGGAATACTTGGCCATCCTAATGGCAGTATCCCATTGGAGGCATTATTTGGAAAGTGGCTCATTTGTGATTAAAACATATCATGAACCCCTAAAACACTTATTAGAACAAAAGCTGACTACTACAATCCAAAAGAAAGGTCTGACTAAGTTACTTGGATTGGATTATACAATTCAGTACAGGAAAGGCAAAACAAATAAGGTGGCAGATGCACTTTCTAGACAGCGACTTGATTCTGGTGAATTTTTGCAAATGGGGGTTACTGTTGTAATTCCTACTTGGAGACAGGATATTGAGCAGAGTTATGAAGGGGATCTACTAGCTCAAGAGAAGATTCCTATTTTACTTATTCAGCCTGACAAGATTGAGAATTGAAAGAGAATTAAAGGAGTTTTATACTTCAAAGACAGAATTTATATGGGCAGCAAAGGAGATCTCAGGCAGAAAATTATGGTGGCTTCACATGATTCACCACAAGGGGGTCATTCAGGTATTCAAGCTACTTATCAGAGGGTTAAAGCTTATTTTTATTGGCCAAAGATGAAGCTTATGATTCAAGAATATCTACAACAATGTGAGGTTTGTCAGAGAACTAAAATTGAACACATTTCCAAGCCAGGTTTACTACAACCTATTCCAGTTCCAAATAATGCATGGGAAGTTATAACAATGGACTTTATTGAAGGGTTGCCACCTTCAACAAAATACAATTGTATTTTGGTAGTGGTTGACAAATTTACTAAGTATGCTCATTTTATGCCACTGTCACATCCCTACACAGTGGTACAAGTTGCTAAGCTATATTTGGATCAGGTTTATAAGCTTCATGGTCCTCCTAAGGTAGCTATTTCTGACCGGGACAAGTCTATTCTGGAAAGAGCTACTTAAACAATTGGGGACAACTACACTTTTCAGTACTGCTTATCATCCAGAGACGGATGGGTAAACTGAGAGACTCAACCAGTATTTAGAACAATATCTCAGATGTATGTGTTTTTTAAAACCTACATCTTGGTCAAAGTGGTTAGCCCAAGCAGAATGGTGGTATAACACTAATTACCACTCTGCTATCCAAATGACCCCATTTGAAGCCTTATATGGTTATAAGGCACCTCTTCTGAGTTGGTCAGGGGATTCTAGAGTGGATGCAATACAAACTATGATGCAAGATAGAGAGCAATTTAATGCTTTACTACGTGAACAACTACTTAAAGCCAGTAACAGAATGAAGCATCTTGTAGATAGGCATCGTACATAAAAGGATTTTCAGGTTGGAGAGGAAGTTTACCTGAAACGTCAGCCTTACAGACAGACATCACTCACCTTAAGGAAAAACCTAAAGCTTGCTGCTCGATATTACGGTCCCTACAAAATACAGAAAAAAATTGGTCAGGTTGCGTATCAACTGGAATTGCCAAATGATTCTAAATTACATCCAGTGTTTCATGTTAGCTTATTGAAGAAGAGAATCGGAAAACAGGGACTTATCTCGCTGAATCCTCTTGAAACATCTTCAGATGGTCAATTGAAAATTTACCCAGCAACCGTGTTAAACCGACGCGTGGTGAAACGACAGAAGCAGAATGTTACTCAACTGTTGTGTAACACCCCCAACCCGTATCCGACCCGGATACGAGTCCGAAGTGTCACATTGACTTTTCAAACCTTGACTCTTAAGAAAAATCCCGGGAAATTTAAAACTTTATTTAAAACAAAATATAGACTTTATCAGAGTGCTCGTACTTAATGACTTATTACATGCCAACACTTTATACATAACCAAAAACATACTTTATCAAATATTTCTGATCTGATCTTTTGGTAAGGAAAACTGACCTGTCTTGCTCCGCATCACTCCTTACTCTTCTCGAAACCTACGTGTGAAACAATCACACGCTAAGTCGAAGACTTAGTGAGGCATAACAACTTATAATGCATTTTAAAAGCTATATTGATACATACATGTTTTGTTCTATCATGTTACAGCAAGTTCATGCATTTTTCATATCGTATAAAATCATATCAGCTTAATTGCAGTAAATACATGCATACACATATTTCATCATTAACAGTTTATCATATAATCACATACTATTTCAATCAAACACTATACACACACATCATATCATTTCTATAGCATTTATCATACCACTAACTTATATTTGTTCATATCTCTGGATTAGCCCATGTACATATGTGAGAACTATCGATATGTGAGTCTATAGAGGTTGTGCACTATGCTGTCACCACAGCTCGTATAAATGCACCAAAGTGCCCGTAGAATTGCACCGAAGTGCCCGTAGAATTGCACCGTAGTGCCCGTAGAATGATGTCCATAAGGACCACGTAGAATTCCTTAAGAATCATATACATATACTATGGATCAAGTATGTGTCTTTCAAGACTTCACACAGGTTCCAAAGGATATACATATGTCCTAAAGAACCGAATAAACCCTCGACTCTTGGCATGCCAACTATACCCCTAGCTCTCATGACACATAACATGGGCGTTATCATTTATTTCATTTCAAAAATACACATAAACTTGTAATTCGCTTTCACATATCACGTATCATATAGCTTCTTTTCATATGATCACATAGTCACGTAGTTCACTTACCCGTAGATCATTTCTCACCCAATCACCTTTATTCATATAAACATACTTATCATATCTTGTTCACATAATATCATATACTTCATATAATATATCGAACACCTAGAACACTTTCATGTAGCTTATAGTCATAAGTTTTGTCTCGTAACATATACTTGTTTTCACATATCTATTTCCTATCAATTCTTATACCATCACATAATTCCTTTAACATACATAACATATCATATAACATTATAATAGAAATACTTATAAGTCATATCACTTAAAGCACATATACTTATAGTCACATTGCTTATATCTTAATCTTATGCCTTCTCTTAAACATATATATTCACATGTTCAGGAATTCACCATTTCATCACATAATTGGGTATTCATATAACTCATTTCATTTCATTTCATATCTATCTATATATATATATATCCTCAAGATTATCCTAATATAAATCATATAGCACTCTTATATTTCGTATTCATCTAGGGCAGACTTATAAACATATTTCACTTCTATTATTTCTATATATAATCTAATCTGTTACTTAATTCAATTTCATATAGCTCTTATAATCTTCTCCTATAACTTCACAAATTTCCATCGTTCAACCCATGTGTTATAGTTTTATTTAAACCTATGAATCTTTCCCATCTAGCTTATCTTATACGTTCATCTTATCATTTATGTTCAAATCCCCTAGTTGGTGTACTATTTTCACTTCCTCCTATAGATCAATATTATCCATTTTATTTCACTTATCATGTAAAAATATAATTATATTTTACTATGATCACATAGTTTATATCTCATACTTTGCTTTCTCATGTTCACCTATATCATGTCATATGGCTTATATCTTTCTCATGCAGTTACATAGTTCAGTTTCACATATGTATATATATATATATACCTTATATAGCACATACTTCTCATAACATTACATTCAAAAGCATGTCAACACATATATTCATGCCTACATACAATTCATGTCATTCATATATGTATAATCATATATTCATGCATTCTAACATAGGAAATAGACTTGTCGCAAGTCTTGTTTCCATTTAGCACCATCAACTAACTAATATGCACTCACCTGGCCTCACTAGCCAATTCCAATCTCTTATCTTTCCCTTGATCGATCTTACTTGCCAAACGTTCCGGAATTTCTTTATGCGTAGAATCTACATAAATGTACATTTCGTGACAATCATTAGATACCTACACCTTCTAATTGGATACTAGCAACTTAAACGAACTTATTAAACCCATATACCCAATTTTCCTTTAGGGGGAATCGGTTTCCCCCTATGGGGGTATCGGTTCCCCCATGACATACTGGAAATTCTTGTTCGTTTGAAGGGGTATCGGTTCCCCTTGAATGGGTACCGATTCCCCTTGCCCAGAAATCATATTTTGAGCTCGAAAATCCTTTATTTTCAGCTCAACACATCATACTTCACTCCCTTTAATATTCCTAACTTTCATACACATACTTAAACTCATTTCTACTCCATAATCCCTTCTTTAAACTCAAAATTCTATCTTCCATATAAGATTCAAAAATCATACCAAATTTCCAATGTGTTCTAATTCCAATTCTAACACTTCCTACCTCTTAATTAGCTTCTTGACAAGTCAAAAATCTGATTTAAACATCAAAAACTCATCCATATCAAAATTTCATCTAAAAACTCATTTTCCAAATCATTCTCTAAATCACTTATCTTGTTGCTTTAATGTCATATAAGCTTTCCTTTAGCTTATATAACATTCAAGCTTTCATTTCCAATCTTAACAATCAAAGAAACTACCAAGTTCAGTTTCTTACCTATAATTGCAAGCCCACGTTTGGAGGAGGAAGAGAAGAAAGTAAGGAAGAATGAAGAAGAAATGGGAGGTTCTGGAACCTAAAATCACACGTGATTCTCATATATCCCCTTAAAATTTTTTTAATTAAAATTTCCTTACAAATGACCATTTGGTCCCTACCTCCATCTCATATTTACTAACCATACTTTTAAACTATATAATTATTCTACTTTAATCACCAAATTCTGAAACTTTACAATTTGGTCACTAACCCGGTATTGCGGATGTTACAAATCTCCCCTCCCTAAAAAAAAAATTCGTCCTCGAATTTTTCACTGAACAACTTAGTAAGAACATATCTTCTAATGTTCTTATGTTGCTTCCTTTACTTAATCTTTCTTTCTCTTAGTTCTTCAACTACCTTTTTCCTTTATACATCCTTATCATGCTACTTATCATATAAGCAATAGCATCAGTTCTTATCACTCAAAATCCTTAATCAATCAAATTCTTTATCAATCTTTAATTACCTTATAACCATACCAAACTTGTATTTCGTCATCATTTGACCAAAACACAACTTTAAATCTTTTTCAATGTGTCTATATCAAAAATTGTCCTCTGTACTTCCATAGTCATCGTATCTGATCCTTTAAATCAATCTCTTCCATTACTTTACTCCTTATTCCTTATACATAAATCATATATTTCCTTTCATATTCACATACTCTTGTCTTATCACTTATACTCGTCTTTATGTACCAATCTTCATTGCATCCTCATTACTTTAATAACCCTTTTCTTATACATAGCTTCATTCTTTATCATCCTTATACTTGTATTTTTCTTCCTGAAGATTCCATGCAAATACTTATCTCAGTTTTTACATCATAGCTATCTGCTCAGAATATACAATCATATTCAAATTCGCATCATAATCAATTAA